ATTAGTAATAAGGCATATTAAACTATATTTTTATTACTTTAAGGTTTTTATATTATAAATATATTAAGTATTTTTATATTTCTTACTTTAAATAAAGTTAGTTATTTAATATACTAAATATAATAATTAAGAAATAATTACTATTTAATTTATTTTATTTATATAACTTATATTAATAGTTTCTATATAATACCTAAAATACTTTATTATATTTAGGGTATATTGGCATTATTTATAGGTTATCTTTATTATTAAATGCCAGTTCTAGGTATAGTAAATTTATTATATTATTAATATAGTAAGCTTTAATATAAATTATTTCTCTTTTATTTATATTTTTATATTCTTTAATTCCTTATATATAGAAGTCTTTTTATATTTAATATACTTATTTTTTATATTTATTATATTTTAGTTAATATTTTTTAACCTATTTTTAAGTAATTTACTTATCCTTTTATTATAAGTCTTATATATTAACTTATATAGCTTTTTTTCTATATTTTATAAATTATAAGCTTTACTATTATCTCTATTAATAGTATCCTTTTACTTTAACTTCTTATTTCTATATAGCTTTTCTTTTTAAAAGTATTATTTTAATAGAAATATTATTTACTAGCCTTAATAATTAGCCTAATTCTTTTAGGTTAAAGGTAATAGCCTTTCCTTTTTTAATAACTTTTAGTATCTATATTATTTTAAGTTCTTATTATTTCTTAAATTCTTTAAACTTATTATTTTTTTTCTTTTATCTTTTTTTATGCTATTTCTTATAAATATATTTTTACTTTTTAGGATCTTCTATATATTTATAGTAATTCTTATTTTATATCTTTTTTTTATATTCCTTTTAGTTTTCTTTAATAAGTATATTATTTTTCTTATATTTAGATATATAGTCTTCTAGCTTAATTTAAGTAATATTTAAATCTCTATTAAACTATCTATTATATCTGCTTTATATTATTTCTAGGGTTTAAATCTATATAACTATCTAAAGTTTATACTATTAGGTTAATTCTAAAGTTTACTTACTATAATTAAGGTCTTATAGTTTTTTAGGTTATAAGTATTAATATACTATATATCTAAACTGGTTATAGTTATAGCATTTATATTTAAATATATTATATAGTCTATAATTTTTATTATTTAATTAAGTAACTTCTAGAGTTATTAATCCTTTATATAATTTATATAAGGTATTATTTTAATTACTTTCTTATTATTATTATTAATTTTAAGAGTTACCTTAATTATTATTATTTTATTATTAATTAAAGTAATAAAAATTAAAGTTATTCTCTCTTTTATAGTTTACTCTCTTTTTTTTATATTTATATTATTATTTATTAATTTTAATTACTATAATAATATATATAATTAAATCTTTAAGCCTATTAGCTAGATATAGTTTATTTTTAACTTTTTTCTTTAGGCTTTAATAGTAAATTTCTATAAGTAAGTTATTATTTTATTAGGTTTTAGCGGCTAGCTATTAAAACTTAGCTAAATAGGCTATATAGAACTTATATTGCCTAAATATAAGTAATTTAGCTGCTATCTATTATTTTTTATTAATTACTTTAAAATTATCCTTTAGTATTTATTTAAAATTCTTTTAATTTCTAAAGATATTTTAAATATCTTAATCCTAAAGGTTCTCTTTATTCTTAAAATAATTCTTTATAATTAATTTAAATTAGTCTTTAATATCTCTTTAAATTAATAATATAGTAAATAATAGCTTCTTAATAGGGCTATCTAGCCTATTAAAAAACAGTTAAAAGTAACCTTTTATTTAAGTAAAGAATAAGATTATATTACTTACCTATCCTTTAAAAGGTTCTAGCTTTAGCGGCTTAAGTGCTTCTTTAAGGTCCCTTTTATAGTATTTATAATTACCTCCTTTATTAATTATAATTAGTTATATATTTATTTAAGCCTATAGGGTATAAATAGTATTATAAAGCTATTAAACTTTAGCTATTATTTTTATATTATTAAGTAATACTTTAATATAAAGAGGTATTAAAATATTAGTATTATTAAATATCTTAATAGTATAATATTACTTAATATATATATAGTATATATTAAATAAGAGCTATTAATATATAATAGTTAGGGTTTTAAATAGAAAAACTAATCTATATTAGGTTTATATTTATAGAAATATAAAGTATATATATTAAGTTTAGCTAAATATTATATCTCTTAATAATTAAATAATATATATTAGGCTTATTAATATAAAGAAGTTTTATTAATAGCTAATAAGTTAAGTTCTATTTAATACTAAATAGATATATATATATACTATAATATATATAAGTTAAATAAGGTTAGTTTAACTCTATTTATAACTATTTATTATATAAGTTAAATAGTATATATTTAACTGGTATAAGGTAGGTAGCTTTTAATTAGGTAAAAATAGTAGAGTGTATATATATATGCATAAGACTGTATTAGGTTATAATATTTAAGATATTTAATAAGTATTTTATTTCTTTTTAATTAATAAATAATAAAAAAGGTAATATTATAAAAATTAAATTAATAAATTTTAATTATTATTATCTTACTTTTAGGTTTAAAATAGGCTTTTTAAAATAGATATTCTTTATAAATTAAAAAATATAATTAAAAAAGCTAATTTAAAAGGTTAAAAAACTAAAAGAAGGTCTCTTTAATAAGACCTTTTTAATAAGCTTAAAAAGCAGTAAGTATTAGCTTTAAAGCTTACTTATTAAGTATATAATAATATTAAAAAATAAGTAAATCTAGCTTTTAAAATAAATAAATAGACTTTAATATAGAAACTTAATCTCCTAGATATAGCTATTAATAAAGTTATATATAGTATAAATAAATACAGTTAAAATTACATTAAGTTCCCTTAAAGAGGGTACTGCAGGTTAAGTTGGGGTAGTGTTAACACATTATAAAATGGATGTAATGCTGTTGGTATAGAATTTTTAATGTCAATGCTGAAAAGTATTTTGGATTGAAGATGAGATTGGGAGGATTTATATACTTTTGGGAAATAAGGTGTTTGTCACATCCTCAAAGGGCCATCCGTTTGTGTTTGCTGAGCATCACAATCAAATTGAAAGGCAGGCAAACATAATAGTCACTCATTGAGAGCTTAGGTAAGTATATTACTGCGGAAAAAGAAACAAAATCTGTATTTGAGCCCTGGCTGTTGAGTATGTTTTCATTCATGCGATGCAATGTTTTGGCAAAGAAATCATCACGCTTGGACTGACAGTCAATCATACTTGGTACCCCTGACCACTCTGTCTGAGTTTCATTTCTCCCACCTCCATCTTTCATCTCACTTGATATCGCTCTCTTCTCTGTAGATGGCTCTTATGAGCATCACTCTTGTGAGCACAGTACATAATACAGTAGCCCTAATCGAAATAGTCACAAGACATCGCTTTAAACTAACTCTCTCTTATGAGCTGGGATGATTTAATGATATCTGAAAGCTTACTCTCAAGAGTAATTCGCCCTCAAAGGCTCCTTTCTCATGAACTTATCCTCTTACGTATCGCTCTTCCCTCTGATGAGTCCCTTTTACGAGCCCCTCTCACGAGCCTACTCGATCACCGCAACGAAATCCTACAACACCTACTCCAACAGCCTCAACATCCCCTGAGAGAAACATAGACAAAACGGTGGGAAACTTATTTAAACTGCCGATATGATCTAGGAAGCCGAATATTTGTTAGATACTGCAAACATGGTATTCAAGACGTCCCGAGAACCGACAAACTGTTGCTTCCTCCCTATAGGCCATATTGCATAAGAACTACTCTTTGAGCAAAATATGAGATTTTGACTTCCGTCCTCTACTATATGGATCACATCGCTCTACATATCGTGGAATTTCTTTTTTTTTTTTTTTTTCCCACGTAAAAGGCTGCTGAGCTTCTTTAACCATTTATAGGGCACTGCAAAGTGCTGGCCTCGGCCGTAGTGCTATGAACGCAACCGAGCGGCTCGTCAGGCTCTCTCCTTTTAGCCGCGATGTCATCGCTCGTGGCACACTGCAGAAGCATTTCCAGCTAGGTGATAATAATTTTGGAAAGGCTCACGACAACCCTGGAGCCAAGACGTCAGAACTAAGAGCGAGTGAGGAATGGTACACGCGTCAGGGACACGAGATTGTAGAAAGGGTAGACCGTGGGTATGATTGGGAGGACCCGACGTCAGGAAAATTAGTCCCAGTGCCATTGGTCTATATGATGAAAAATCTCATTTAAGACATAGGGCGGAATCGGCATCCCTTAGGCGGTCGGGTTTATGTTCCGAGGCCTCTAAGTAAACCTCAGCTACTCCTGCGTCTACAGCCTCCCTAATAACAGGCCTGCCTAGCGGATGCTCTTTACTAGATGTACTTAATCCTCCCGCTAACCGGTAGCAGGCTCGTTATGATGTGTTATTCGTACCGATAATAGGGTGGTCTGTCAATACTCCTGTAGAAATTGCATGTCGGTAAAAATGCCTAATTTCGCGTCTTGAATTGCTAAGCATGTCACAACCAGCAGCTCCCTGTATTTAGTGCATAAGTAGACTCCCGGGGAAAAAACACATACAGCATAATGTATCGACTTGCATATACCACCGGGACTATACACATTCATTCATCACTTTCATAAGCTCTAGCTCACCAGATGCCAATAAAACTCCTTTACCTCGATAAGCCTCACTTGCTCTATTGACTTTTTAGGGTATAGTACTGAACGGTGCGAGTGGCACGTCTCTACGCGTATGTCTTAGGAATCATGACCGTCACATTATAGGTCTTTGCGATACGTCAGATACTGGGTTTTAGGGTTATTCTAGAGCGCTCGAAGTGCAAGAAGAATCTCACATTTCAGAGTAGAGGTAGGGCATGACCACTGGCTGAGCATTCATTGGTGATGGGTGAGAGATTTTTAATGCCTATTTTTATCATGCACATTATACAAGTTCTTATAACTATTTCAAGGTAGACGAATGGTGCCTTCAGCTACCAAAGTCGCCAGCCCTGAGAGAAACATAGACAAAACGGTGTTACCTGATCCATCCAAGATAACATCCACAATAATATTGCTTTTGCGGCCCATTTCGCGGCCTTGTTCCATACAGAAACGATAAGTGCCATTCGGCTCTTGCTGCTGTAGAGCAAGATATGCCGCAAGAGAGCAGCATGCACTTCCGGTCGCCGGATCTTCCAAACCGATCCCTATCATGCGCACACGCAGATTTTCCACCCTGACACCGTTGTCCAGAGAGACCACTCCACGACGATAGTACATGGTGCCAGTGAACGAAGGAGCCCATCCGTCGTCAAGTTCTGTGACCGGGCTTTTCCCAGCAGCGACACGAATAAAAAGATCCTCTTGATCCGACATATCAACGAGGGTATACGTTACACCCTTGACAATTGAAACGGCAGGATATTCCTGACTCAGCCTTGACGCTTGATCAACCAAGCTTGGCTGTGTATCGAGAATGTTTTGCTTGGGTGTACCACTGGACTGAATGTGCACGTTGTGAGGCACTTCTGCAAGAACAGTGCCGGTCTCGTAATTATGACGAAGAAGAATCGGCCCAGCATTGGCCGAGACAGAAATAGTTTCGGGTAGGGGGTCTGGTAGAGAAATTCCTGGCAACAGCTGGTGAAATAACATATAGCCTGTCCCAATAACAGGGTGTCCTGCAAAGTCTATCTCGCCGGCTGGCGTGAAGATGTTAATGCTGAGTTCACCATCTTGGCTCTGGCGTATAAAAACCGTCTCGGAGTAGTTGAACTCGCGTGCAATTGTCAGCATGTGCCCATAAGACAACGCTTCACCTTCAACTCCAACGACTGCTAGGGGATTCCCCTTGAACCTGAGAATAAAGACTCAGCTACTGGACAAGTATACGAGGAGGGAGGCAGAGCTAATTTTGATCGTACCGTGTAAGAGTGAAAACGTCAAGTGTTACTAGTTTATGGTGTAAGAAGAAGACTTGAGATGTTAAATCAGAGAAATGGTCTTACTGTAAGGGGCTTTAGAGGCAGCCATTTTGGCTTGTTTGTCTGATAATTTGGGAGTCGAGATGGATTGTTTTGCGCCACGAAGGAGCGGTTGCTCTTATGTATTTCTGGCTTCTAGGAGGGGCGATGTTGTGTTTACATTGGTGGCAGGGCGCAATGCTCCGGTTTTGGTGTCTAATCTACCAGACTGACTCACAATTTGTTGAGAACTTCCATTATTAAGCACGAGGCCGATAACGGGGGACAAGGTTTTAATTTAAAGCTTTTCGTTTTAACGGCACTAGCTTTAATAACACCTTCGGTTTAATAAGGTTATTATAGGTTAGATTTACCTGCATATCTAAATTTTGATATTTGTCAGCAGATTATGTTTATGTTGTGTTATGTGTAATGGCAAAAAGACCTTACCAAAACTTTAGCCATTCCCAGTAAAAGATTTTATTGGCTGTTACCGGTACGTTACAGCTTTAGCCGTAAATAACCGCTAAACATAATTGCCGAACTTGTTATCTCGCAGAAAAAGAATACCCTCGTTCCACATTATCCTTAGCTAGACTAGTTATGCTGCTGGCGAGAACACGTTTTTCTAAGGTTTGAATCCTTTTTCAAATTGACAAAGGCGAGGCTCTAGTTTGTTGCAAGTACCTTTCAAACCGCCATACAACCACCACAACATGGCTCTCATAAATCCCTGCCGGCACATTTAGGCGATGTTCTTCCAACCAGCCTAGCCCGACTCTACCAAAAATGGTAGGCTCACAACACTGTATCGTTGTCCTAGAAGAATGCCATTTCCCAATCCCGAGGTTACCGTTCACATATCATTATACAGGATATCCTTTAACGACTTTCAAGCAAGTTGCTGCAAGACTGCAGGACACTACTATTGCTATCATAACTTTGTCACATTTCCGAATAGTTTGCAGTTCGAATCGTACCAAGTAAATTGCTGTTGTTCTAGCCTGAAGCGGGTTTAACAGTATACCAAGGTCGCTGGTCTGGCATTGTAGAATATACGAATGAAGAAAGCATTTCTCGAACGTAAATCAAGACCAAATTCCAAGTCAAAGCAAATTAGTAATACCCACAAACAGATGATCCCACTTACACAGCCATCCGTCACAGTCTCAGTCCATCACCATGTCGCCTTCTACTTGCCCTTGGTCGAAGGCAACGGCTTATATCCAGACCTGGCACTTCCAGCGCCGTACTTGTCAAGGTGTCTAGCCCTCCACCACGCGTACCATTCTTGGGCTTTCTTGCGCTCCGCTTTTAATTCCTCTCTGTCATTATCTATGCCACATTTGTTGGTTCGACTGCCAGACTTTAATGAGCGGGATACAGTTCTGCGTTTCTGTGCCGAATTTCGTGACGTAGCTCTTTCGTGGAGGTCGGCGAAAGTCCAGAGCGAGGAATGGTGAATTCCTTTGTAGTCCTTGCTTTCTGTCGTGATGAGCGACTGGAGGGCCATGCTGGGCTCTCCAAGGGAGATAGAGGTTGCAATCTCTCCCTGGCATGTGTTGCCCTTGCTTCGTCAGCGGGCTCATGGGTATGCTTTCCATCAGCTGATGGTAGTGGTGGATACTGAACATCCTTCCGAGAGGATGTAGCGACCGGTGAGGAATCACCATCCCCTTATGGTCCATCGTCAATCGGGTAATGCTCCATCCGAAATGCCACATCCTCGTCTTTAGTGAGATATTTATCGAACATTTTAGTTCTTTCTTTGATCCAGCTCCAAGTCGAGGAGAAGCTCCTGAGGAACGTGAGCCAGTTCATATTGGTAGGCACCTTATCATTGATGTCGTTCCAGGTATTGTCAATAAAGGGTCTCTTGAGGGAGTCCAGGTCGAGAATGTCGAAGAAGGTCTTAGGCTCGCGGGTCGGGTCGGCGTTCCAAATGCGATAGTGGACCTGGCAGATTGCTTTGACTTCTGCGGTGACAAGAAGGTGGAGGAAACCTCTCTTTGTGAGGTAGGGGTTGGAATTTTCACCAGATAATAGACTGTATACGGCGAGAACGCTCAGTGGAATGGTGGAGACTGCGAGAAGAGCTAGATGGACGGGAGGCAATTCACCAAGTGTTTGAATGGCAGACACGACGATTGCGGGAGCCGCCATGTTGCTTGCAGCTATCCAAAAGAAGCTGTCCTATGAGCGAGATGATGTTTGTGGAGTAATGCGCCAGAAATAACTGAGCCTTGCTTCAAGAAGGAGAAGATGCAAGTTGTGAGGGATTGTTTGGGCCAATCAAAATTTGAGATCTTTGAGGGCTGTTGTAGTGAAGCAAGCAAGCAATCGAAGGAGCGAGCAAGCAGAGTTTGTGTCCTTCTGAGCCACGTCATCGCCTGTTGCTGCAGACAACTGCGTAACACGGACAAAGAGTGCTGTGCAAACAGGAAAACAGGGCTTTACCATATCAGGCTAAGGGGTTGGACGGTGTATAACAGGAGCTTTAAGGTGATTATCCTTGCCTTAACTTCTGAAAGAATGCCAGGACATTCGTGATCTTTGTCTTTTTTGTGGAATGCATGAGAAAGGCTACTGAATGTTTCTTTATTGTTATTTCTTTTGTCCATTTCGAAATTAATATAACACTGGCATGAAAGTAACATTGATGAGCTATCATCTTTGGAGCGCCATGTATAAATACAGCTATCTACACTTGCTACTTTCTCCCAACATCATCACCATCACTTCGCATTTGATCATGTGTCGATTCCGAGAAGACATGAGCGACCTCTCGTTGCCAGCAACGACGTACACAACCATGCTACAAGACAATCTCAGGCTTAAGAAAGTATGTCGGAACAAGATTGCAGAGACGAGGAATGAATATCGTAAGACACCTTTTATACCTTGTCATTCTTGGGCTAAATATCTCGGCCTTGGAACAATGGAGACTTCAGCAGGCAGCAATGCCACAACGAGCTCCACCAGTATCATACACGACGGCCTTTCTTGCTGGAAACTCGCCCACCACCAACATCCACGCCCTAAACGATGGCGTACTTACCAGAAACCAGACCTGCACCAGCATCCGCGCCGTACACAGTGACGTATGTCCCTGCTCCAACTCAGGCACCGAGAGTTGCTGTACCAAGCCCTATACCTCTCTCTGGTCACAGCCACCAATATGTCACATCTCAGACAGCTCCGCAGCGCACTCAAGAGCAAAATTCAAGCAGAGCAGAAGTATGTCGAATGTGCCAGACAGTGGAAAGAGGCACTAGACATTTTAGGCACTGCCGAAATACAGATGCAAGCCGCAGAGGCCAGAATGGCGGCGCTCGGGGCGGTCCCGGATGCACATGTGCTGTTGCAGCAGATGTCGTCCACAACAACATGAGGGGTACATGACTATAACGCACAAATGGTCAATCACGGATAAATAGAGTGGGCATATTTTGGTTTTTGACTTGTTTAGGTATCGGTATGTTTGTTTGATAGATATGGTGTTTAATGACATGGGTTTTCTTCTACATCCGAATGCTGGTCGGAAGCTGTCACACATTCCCTGCCTGCAAAGTTGGTAGATCTCGGCCTTTCGTTTTCGCTCCGACGCATCATGGAAGTATTTCAATCGACCATGCTCGAATAGGCCGCGTCTGGAGACCCTCAGTGAGTCTAATTGAGTGGCTGTGTTCCTGTTGGATACTCCCCTAGTCAAATCTCCACCATGATCGTCTAACTTCCACTTCAGCTCGGATATATCACAAACTGATGGAACTTGATGCGACAGCCATCGGAATATCCGTGTTTCGTCTCAAACTCTTGCTGTACTACAGAATGAGGTACCGCCACTATAAAAAGCTCGTAGAAGCACACCTATTGGCCTCGGATGACACCATCAGAAAGCCCCTCAGCATCCATCCTCACTCAAAATCCATTTCACCCAATCTGACAAAATGGCTCCCCTCCACGTAGGTGTACTTGTCTACGACTATCAAGCTATAGATGTCTTGGGCCCAACCGACCTCCTCCACTCTGCCACCAAGCCATACATCCAGACTCTATCTGGCTATCTGAAGATCGAGCAAGATACAATCGCCCGGGCCCCAGAGTTTGTCTTTCACCACATTGGCGTCACTCGCGAAGCCTTTGTTCTTCAAACAAGTAACATTACGATTGTCCCAACTACAACCGTAGATGAATGCCCCGAAATTCAAATTCTTCTTCTTGGCGGTCCAGACCCCATGAACTTCGAGCTTCATCCCAAGTACGTCGAGTTCATCAAAAAGCACGTCGCAGCGGGAAAACTTCTCTTCACCACCTGCACTGGAGCCGGCGTCGCTGCGGCAGCGGGAGTTCTTGACGGCAAGAATGCGACCGTCAACCACGGCGCTATTCAGCCTCTCGGGCAAAAGTTTCCTAAAGTCAAGTGGACTGATGAGAAGAAATGGATTATCGATGGAAACATTTGGACTGCGGGCGGTGCTGTCGCTGGAATGGACATGTTTGCGCATTGGATCAAGGAGAACTTTGGAATGGATATCATGGTTTTGGCTGCGTCGATGTTGGACTATGAGCCGAGGGACGTTGATGGTATTTTGAACGTCATTCCGAAGAGGTATGATGAGAATGGCAAGCAGTTGCAAACTCATGTTTTCAAATAGAAACTGGTACCAGTATCTCCCGAGCACATTATGAGAGATACCTAGGCAGGTTCCTGTTACATCATCCAAGGGATAATTGAAACTGTGAGTGTTGTCTATCGCAAATTAAGTCATCTCATGACTGGGTATATAACATATCTGAATCAAGTACCATCGCATCGATCATCATTTCCTCGCATCCGATTCTTCGACCGTAAACTCAACTTCCTTTGTAATCCCAGGCATTGAGGGAATTATTTCATCCGAACTAGCCTCGCCACCTCCTCCGTGAATGTACACGTTCCGATCATTCACACTTCCAAGCCCCGTCGTTGATCTGATAGATCTTCCATTACTCCTCTTCCAGTTTGATCCATTTCCGTCGGCGAGCATGATACTTCCAGGTTCGGGACCGCCTTTGTACTTTGAGCTTACGTTGTTGGACGAGAGAAGCGATCCGAAGATGGGTTTCAGCTTTTGGCGCATCCATCCCCATGTACTGGGAAGATTGGCTGTCACGACGGCAACAAAGGATTCTCGGACTGCCCAAGACGCTCCCTCGAAGGGCCCGCTCTTGGGGTTCTGGACGAGGTCAGTGAACTTCTCATGATACTCTGGTGTTGGAAATATACATACCTTGAGGATGAGGATACATCGTAACAAACCAGCAACCATCACGAATACGGCGCCAGAGAAAAGTACTACTAGTCCGTACTTCTTTACCTTTGGAATGCGAGCGCCCCAAAGCATTGGAATAGGGATGGCGAGCAAGTAAACGTCGGTCAGGATGTTGAGGCTGACAATGATGAAGATGTAGAGCCTGGATATCGCGGGGTGGCAGAAGTCTGCTGTTTGTCAGTGAATTGCTTAGATACCGTTGATCTCGACGTACTGCCTGGGTCGGGGTATATTTGCCAAAAGCGGTTAAACGGACGACAACTAAAGAGAATACAACATATAATGGCGATGTAGGTCGAGGCGATGAAGCCGAAGCCGATGTAGATTCGAGTTTTGTACCCGGTAAGTCCAGCCTGAAGTCCTTAGTCCTGTCACTTCGTTTTCATGCCGTGTCAAACTTACCGTGAGCCGGAAGTAGAAAGCGCATAACGCACTCTTGATTACCCAGAGACAGGTTGCGTAAGTAAGCCAACCAGCGATCTGGATCTTGGATCCTCCAACCCTGTCTCCAAATTCATCGCTATTCGGCGACAGAGCCTTGCGCTCCTCATCTGTCATGCCAGAATTTGTCAACCCGTGGAACTTTGCGCCAACAGTATACGCAAGCGCCGTCTCGATCGTATACGGAATAATCACCAGCAGCATGAGGTAATCGTCGGCCTCAAAGTTCCTCACGCCGACTTGTCGTATCCTGGCAAACGTTCGCAACCCAATAACCGAGATGCCAATAGAGAGCAGTGTAAACGCCTCGGCGGCGAAGGAGTCAGCACTACCCATGGCTGCAGAAACAAAAAGCGATGCGAAAAACCAACGTGTGCATAGGGGTCACGACGCAAGGGGAGGGGAAGCCTTTAAAGCCAAGTTATTGCCTGGAAAGCACGTAGCCACTTGCATGGATCAAGTCCGTCCTCCGAGGAACCATCGCCAATCACAACTCTATCTTGCAGCATCGTTCCGGTGATAAGAGGTCCGCGACCAGCAGGGGATGTCATGGGAATTAGATGCGGACGAGGCTTGCAGTAGTATTCTACGCTAGAAGACGATCGACATTCGCCAAGGATCTGGTGAAGAAACCGGCCTCTTAGCTGCCGACTCGAGTCATTTCTTCACTGAAGATCACTTTGAAAGTCTTGGTCAAACTTGATAATCAGGACGATCATCTTGTGTCAAAACGTGGCAGTGAGTCGTCCGTTTTGGATAACGCCTAAAGTTTCTTTGCTAAGAAGAGGAATGTTTATCGGTTGACGATGTTGTACCATTGTCTCGGGAAGAGGCCGAAGAGACCAATCAGCGACGATCTGTGTCAGCTCTATTTGGTCGACTCAGCATCTACAGAGTCAGAAAGAAAGGGCTCATGAATGGCTTACCCTGTTGAGACAATGCAACCGGGTTTACCGAACTTAAAAGCCCCTCCTTTCTTTGTGTATGCTCTCCGGACTTGCAAAGTCCCGCGCCCATTTCAGGGGCTACCGAATCCCCGGATATCTTTATTGCAGCTCCCCGACAAGCCACCCAAGCGAAAACTCCACTTTCCGTAGCGTGCAAGGATTGATCGGAAAGGATTCTGCGCCGCAGTCTGCTCAGGAGAAGTTATCTTCATGTGATATAATGATGTCTTAGAATGCATGAGTCGTGAACTGACACGTCAAAGGTCCTTTTGTTGAGTCTGATTGCAAAGATTCTCGATGATTGTCAATGCGGCAGATCGACCGCAATTGAACGCGTTCCGCTAAAGTGCCCCGCCGACCTTCTTAGCTCTCGTCATCGTTCCGTTTGTAATCTGTAGGGCGGACTACGATGATGGCTACGCTGAAAGAAGCTTTCGATTGCAGATCACGAAACTTTGAATTGGCAACGTGGGACTTGAAAAATGTAATTATGTGCTTTGGGCACGAGAATTTACAGCCTTATAGGGCGAACGTTTGCTCTTGTTGAGGTGGCGGGCGGCCAGTAACTAGTGGAACCGGAACGCTTGGTCGGAAGCCCAAATTGATATAGGGTGGCTGTCTCACAACATCCAAGTCTTGATCATTCTTCTCCAGCTGCGTATTTGCATCTTATTCCCGGAATCAATACAGAAACTCTCTAAACAGAGTTATTCAAGGAACTAATCACTAATCAGAACATCAGCCTGGACAGTCTTTTAATTCTTCGCTCCTTGAGGTCATTTGGGATTTCATCAAAACTTATAAACAATCTGGTCTAAAGGAGAAAAGAAAACTCAAGATTTTAGCCCTGGATGGCAAAAAGACTTAGATCAGCTAATAGAAATCAAGCTAAAATTGAATTAAAATTTAGGATATCTTTTACTAAGTTTATTTTGGTATCTTATATTATGGTCTGGTGTTTTGTTGCTTGCTGAGGCTGATAAGCCGCTGAGCTGAAGATCATAACGGAAACAACTCCATCTGAGCTTGCCAAAACATGCTACAGTGATGGCAGGTAGCCACTGTATTTTCCAGTGAGCCAAGATTGCCCCACTTTAATCTTCCTTCCCTCAAGCATCGCCATTGCATTGTATTGCTTCATTGCCAAAACACCACAAAATCATGACGGTTTTCTTTTCCCGGCCTTTCTCGCTCGAAGAAGCAACAAAGACCAGTCCCGAGTCTGAAGCTATATTTGCGGATACTGGAGTTCGCATCCATCCTTGGGAAAGGGTATTCTCCAAGAATATTGCAAATGTCGCCATCAAGATCTATCGTCTCATCGGCGAATATGTCAATATCTGGCTTGGCGACATAAACCCCGAATACTGGACACGTGGTACCCTCCAAAGTCTGCATACTCTCCTTCTTCACGCCCTTAGTCATATCGATGAACCGAATCAGCGGAAAGGCAGGCTTAGCCAGATCAAGGCTCACTTGATGGCATGCGCTTTTGCAGACGCCTGGCGTGGCATGAAGCCTACTCTTCATCCAAGGCATCTTCAAAACGCACGCCTTTTGTTCTCCATTCCTCACCACCAAGACCCCACCGACAAGACCACGGCCGACGAGAGCGACAAATCGGAGGCTAACCCTTCTATTCCTACACCTGAAAGACCCCGAACGAATTCCGTGACCCGCAAGGATCCTGCAACCGAGCCTTTCCTTGAGACTTCCCCCAAGCAGTCGCGCTGGCAGGAGATTGCTGTTTCAGTGACGACAGGCGATAACACCGAGGTACTTTCACTTCCTATACAGGTTTGCAATATTGACTTCTACAGCTCCGCTCAACTGATTGCGACTTGATTCCCGAACTAAAACAGCACCAAGATGGCGCGAAGGATAGCTTCCTAAAACTGCTACACAGACTTCCCATCCTCTCATCAACCGCCGTCGGCGAACTAGGGCGTGAACGGGAGATCACATCCGACCGTATCAGAAGTCTGAACGATGACATGGCCAACGCCAAAGAGTCCTTAACTAAGCTCAAAGATTCCGTTTCTACCCTCATGGCTGATATGGAAGCTCACGCAGCGAACGAGAAGGAACTGCAGAGCGCTAAGAACGTGATCGAAGCCGCAGGGTCTGGAGTTCGGTCAACTGTATGGAGAGTCCATGAAAAGGCAAAGTCGAATACGTCCGCCACCCTTGAAGAGAAGTCTCAGGAGCTTGAGGAGGTAAAAGCGCGACTGGGCAGGCTGATTGAAGAGGTCGAGGAAGCTCAGGCATAGATGAACATCACAGATGAGAAGGTTAAGCGTGCCCCGGCCCAGTATGATGAGTACCGTGTTTTCATCGAAAACATGGCCCTACTTTGCGATACAGGACCCAAGGGACTGGAGAGGGTGGTTGATGCTTTGAGTGAGCATGGACTCAAGTTTGAGACGTTAATTTAAGAGCATGTAGGTGATGGACAAAGCAGCGTTGCCTATTGAAACGGAGGTACCAGGAGGCGCAGGCTTCAGAATGATAACAGGCGTGGAAAGTAGCTGAAGTGCAATCTTTTGCGGATCATGGATGGACGATGGCTTTTCGGTAGATATCTTAGTGATGGGAGGGAGTTTGTTTGTACCAGACAATTGCAGAAAATCTTACGGCTTCACTGACGTCATCACTGAGATCAAAAATAAAATAAACCACAGTCATTAAAAAAAGCAAGATCTTTTGATGTATCGAATGTTCATGAGCGAAAAATTACCTCCTCAATCTACTATGTACATCCAAGCATATTAAACAAATAAGCTAAAAGTCCTTTTTCGCGGACGACCAAGAAGTCTCGAAAAACCAAACAAATCAAGTCATTTTCCCATATCCAGCAATATCCCAGTCATTAACGCATAACTTCATAAGCAACCCTTGTCTAGTCAGTTGCTTCGATTGAACAAGCTCATCCGCAAGCCCCCTTTCTTAGGCTTCTGGTTAAAAGAGCTCTGCACGCTGACGGGTCGATGTTCGAAACTGTCGATGCTCTCCATGCGCTGAACGGGCTGACGGACTGCGGGTGGCGGGGGCTGCTGCATGAGTTCCCCGCGGAGAGCTTTGCCCACCTGGTCATGCTGCCTGCTATAATCATCATGCTTGGACTTGGCTTCGATGAAGCGGTCTTCAGCTTGGCGACGTCGTTCTTGAAGAGCGCGGATCTCATCGTCGAGTTGGTTCATTTGGGCTTGAGCGTCGTTCATGAGAAGATCATACTCGTGGATCTTCTGCTCAAGAGGCAGAAGAACGCTCTTTTGAATGGAAGGGCTGTTGAGACGGTTGATGTCGTTGCCAGGGACTGCTAGACGGTCTGGCGAAGGCGCGCGACGCTGCTGATGCTGGTCTGAGGCCATGGATTGAGAAACACGGCTCTGCTGGGTGTTTGGTCCATTTCGGGGAGGTGACTCTCCATGAGGTCGGGGTTCAGACTCCGAACCGCGGCGCGATTGTCGTCTGTAGCGACCACCGTCTCTAGGGCCATTGGGCTGCTGCTGCTGAGGACCTCCGTCCATTCCGCCAGGATAAGTTGGAGGCATTGGTTGCTGAGGACCTGGGCCTGGATGTGGACCTCTGGGAGCGTTGTTGTTTGGACCTGGAGGCTGTCTTCTCTGACCGGCATTGCGAGTGACCTGACCAACTGGAACAACACGCTAATAGCGAAAGGTTAATTACGAGGCTCTGGCGCGGAGAAAAGATGTTGCAGAGAAATGCATTCTCTAGCGCGGGAGAGAAAAAAACTCACCTGTTGGTGCTGTTGTGCTTGTGCCACAATGGCGTCCTGCAGCGCCACGTCAGAGGTAGGCGAGCGCATGTCGAATTCTTCACTCTGAGGGCGAAAGTCATCGAGTTGCTCGGGCGATTGAGTGCGTCTGTATCTCGGGCTCTGGCCATTTCGCGCAGCACGAGCTGCTTCGCGGGCGTCACGAGCAGTGCGAGGCTCATAAGCTGGATCCTCTAAGGTGTATCTTGGCTGAGCCATTGCAGCCATGATTCCCGGGGTCGTGATGTGAAATGCGGTGAACGAACACAAAGAACAAAAAGGTTGGAATGAGAATGCCTTACGAACAAGACATGAAAATAGCGGGTAGAGAGTGAAAGGAATGAGAATCTACACCGACAATGTCAGGAGCTGATTCATGTTTTAGTGACGGTCTGGAAAGGCAAAGGCTGGAGAGCTGGAAATGTTGGTGGTTGGGTTTGGTTTGACAGCCAAGTCGAGTCGTTTCTTGGAGGTTGGGGAGTTTTCTTAGCTCCAGGGGAGTGACCCACTAAGACACAACACCAGCCACTGCCCGCATGAGACCTTGAATACAGGGTGTCAAAATAAACTCAGCGAAAATATCATAATTTTAGACTAAGTTTACATAGGCCCTTTTGTCACTCAGGACCAAGGCCGGACTGTATAGCACAGTTAAGACAGTGTCTTTCTATTTTTACGAAGAAATATGCAGTACTCCGTAACACGTATCGCTTCGTATCCATTAATCGAGTACACGTTGAAATCACCTGCAATGGAGTGTTCTTCTGCACTCGTTATTGATCCACGTGCTGAGACAGCGGCGGCTAGATGCATCCCTTTGGCTCCAGGGAATGCCATGCAGCATCGGGCGTTTATCTGAGGCTGGGTTTCGAAAACCCGGTATTCCCAGATTGACGGGCGTTTATCACTTCGTTAAAGCAAGAAATTCGAGATGAAACGCTTCGATGACTTGCTTTAGTGTTTTGCTATTTGTTAAACGAGCCTAGTCCAGCCGTTGGATTTTGGCCTTGGGTGTCTTGGCTGGTGATGCCCGCAATTCGGGGTTGCACTCTGCACGTCAACGTTACACAGTGTTATCTGAACGCGCGTCGAGGCAGCAACCAGCAGTACTCAACCTTTCGCATTAACTGAAGTTCTTCTTTTGGGTGCCATGAGAAGGTTGGTCTAAAGTACGTCGCACTCAATTGCGGCAGTTTATGCTTGCGACCGTTGTAGAAGTGTTGATTTACTCGCCGTTCGTTACCTTGGCCGTAGACTCTTATCGCGTCATGGCTGGCAAAATTTTCGCGTCAGAAGCCAAGCGGCCCGTCCCATCCCATCCAAGCCCAATCTCACCGCCATCGATGACCTTGACTCAGATCTCAAACACAGCCCAACGTTTGTCGCATACAGGGTAAATGCTTGCCGATGTCCAGCCCAATTGACAGCGACACCTCACGTCATTCAAGCGCAGCGAAATGACCCAAGATACGACCGTGCCAAAATTGGTCACCGTCATAATAACAACTTCGCCAACTCCATCCGCGCCATCGACGGAGCTTGTCTCTACAGTCCTCGAATCATTTGAAGAGCATTGTCACGCTTTAACATTATGTAATGTTATTGTTGTATTCGACACCTTTGATCAGATAGTACCTACAGCGCGACTGAAGAAAGGACAAGTCACGCCTCAACAGGCAGCAGATTTTGACGAATACAAGAAGAATGTCAAGGACCTGATACTCAAAAAATATCGCCATGTCGGTGCTGACTTCATCCAACGGTATGCTACGGCGGAGTATGGTAGTCCTAAACCTCAGAACACCGTTGACTACACGATATCGCAAACCAGCGACAAGAAAGTCACCTTTATAGAGCCGGCGAGACGACTAGGGTTCGGCCTTGCAGTCAGATCAGCCTTGAGGGCAACTCAAACTCCTTTCGTCTGGGTGCAGCAACATGATTGGGCTCTACTTGCAGACTTTCCCATGGCACCTCTTATACAAATCATGAAAGCATATGATTCGCACCATGAAACTCCCATCAAGTATATATGCTTAGCTGCTATTCGCATGCTCTCACATGCCATATCTGAACAGCATCCCGTCCTGCGAGAGCTATCATCATCTCTTACACAAAAATACGAAGATCCGACACATCCTGGTGTAAAAATACCCCTGACACCGATTTACTTCTGGCATGATAAACCCCATCTTGCCTCAACAGCGCATTACCTCGAGAGAGTATTTCCCTCACGGTTAGCTATGCTGCGAGGAGACTTTATTGAAGACAAGATTGGACAAAGAGCTCGCGCTCAGATGAAGGAAGGTCTCGTAAGTGTATTTTCTTTCCATCTTGGACGAACATCGTCAGTTGCTACCATGTGAAAGCACCTACTGACGACAAGCAGTGGACGAAATGGGCTACTTGGCTTTACTACCCTGATGACGGGAAACAACTTTGTTTGAAACACCTACAAGGGAGGACTTGGGCGGGTGCTGAACGACAAGCCGATAGAGCTGCTATGTGGAGAGAAAGGAATGAGGCTGAACGGGCAGCTCAAGACGACGGCTGATCTGGGAGAGATCAACAAGATACCCTGATTGATAGACAAAGACCGCGATTTATGATGTCACAGTAACTGAGTTATGACAGGAAGCATAAACTGCCGAGAGAGTTATGCAAGGTATCCCAACCCTAGACCATAACGATGATGTCGGATGGTTTCTGCGATCAAGCATTCAGATGCCCTGACCTTAATCGGCTTTCCCCGCATGACGCTTGACTCGCGCAGCGGTTAAAGAAACTCCCCATCCTTGAAGCTCTTTTTTGCAGGATCAAGACATTCTTAACTAAGTAAACGGCGCGTGCCGCATTCAATTGCCGATGGATCTTTGCGGGGTGCCGACCCCTCACCTCGAGCCGATCACCGTTTTCCATGATCGGTGAATCATCATAGCGACTTGGCGATCTGGGGAAAATGAAGGATAAAACGAGTTTATAAAGGCGTAGAAGATCCAGGGTGAATTGACCGTGATAAACAGTCTAAGAACTATTCAATTGACACAATGAGACTCTTGACGCCCCTCGTCATCGCCTCCAATGCCATCCTGGCAGCGTCCCAACTCATGGGAACGCCGTCTTATGAGTTTCTCTATACCGTCAACGCAACCCTCGGCGAACGTTGGCCGATTGGTGACTACGGTCAAGGTAGCCGGGTTGTGATTCCCATCACCGGCGGAACCTTCAAGGGACCCAAGCTTTCGGGAACGGTCACTAACCTTGGTGCCGACTGGGGTCTCACCGACACCAAGGGCATATTCTTCCCCGATACCCGATACAACCTGAGGACTCATGATGGAGTTGATATTTATATTCAAACTTCGGGTCCGACGCAGCCTGATGGAAGGACGTTGTTGAGGGGCGTTTTCCAGGCAGCGCACCCGGATTATGAATGGTTGAACTATGTCCTGGCGGTCGGAGTGCTACAGAGGCCTCCAGCAGAGAGCAAGG